CACAAAAGTCTAGATTCATGTCAGAATATTTTCTAGATTTAGATTTTTCCTCAAAAGTACTAGTTGATATGATCTCATAAATCTGCATACAACATTTTCTTCAGAAACGTAAAAAAATTTGGATTTGAATTTCACACTAATTTAAAATGACATTTTTTCCAAGAAATAAAATATTTTTATTTAAATAAACCAATTAAATGATTTGATGAGCTTAAAGATTTTCATTGTATGTATATAATATCGATAAGATATCAGATTTTGATGTTCATCCATAATTTATTTTTCCAAATAGAGATTGAATATTTAGGACTATTAAAAAGTTAATAATTAATTATCACAACTATATGATTTCAATTATGACTAAGATTATTGAGATATATTTTTATATTATATTTCAAAAAAATTATAATAAAACTTGAAAATTTGAACATTCACAAGAAACATGATTACGAAACATAATCAGATAATTTGACATACTTTTAAAAAAAATCAAAGATTCATATCAATATACTTTAAACAAGTTTCATACAAATGTACAATTAACTTCAAAAGATTTCTGATAATCTTTTAAACTCAATAAACACAATATTCTTGCATGAGATGTCATTTGAAATTAGTTAGTGATAACTCAAATTCAAGATTTCTGCTTCAAACTATCTCGGAGTGCAAAACGCGGCTCGTCCCAAACATTGTTTCTAGATTATTCAGTATACCATTATGTCACATAGACATAACTAGAGGCGCTCCACGTATTAGAAATAAGTGGTAGCCTACCGCCTCAACTAAGTCGTAGAACATAAATTATTTTTCTGCTAAAATACTACATGATGTCGATTTGCTTCAGTATGTTGTCCATATCCTGGTTATGAGCAAAATGTAGAACACTCTGGCTATGATAATGAAGGTTGATCTCGCCCTCTGTAAATCTCATCTTCCTGATAAGCTTGTTTGCCACATCAAAAAATGTGTGTTTCACTGGATAGAACATTCAGAGTCCATACTGTGATTTTAGCAATCTACAAACGAACTTCTCCCGATCGTTAAACCAAAAGTCAATCGGTTATTTTATGTGAATCTAGTCCACTAAATATTCATAGAGTATAAACTAAAATCACATTCATATGATTCATTACAAAACTAAATATCGCAACCCATGCACATACCAGACGAATTATAGCATACTTTGTTACAGAAAACTTTGTTGTAGTTCACACCCTTCCTTTGTGTGAAACCTCTAACCACCAACGTGGCTTTGAATATTGTTGTCTCGTCATTTTCTAAAATGTTTTCAGCTTGTACATCCAATTTGAATCAATTAACGTTTGAGCAACATGATGTTTAACTAGCTCCAACGTCTTTTATAGATTGCATTTTTTCATTTTTTCTCAAGCCTATTGATCTAATCTTGAGCTTTTCTGTAGAAAGAAGTTTCTATTTCTTTCAAGATCAATCAAATACCATTCACATCCTTTATATTAATATCACAATCTTCGAGAATGGATGAATTGGCCCATACATTATAATTTTTAGCAGCACTACTAGCATGATTCAATGATCTTATACTCGAAGATTTTAATTTATCTCCATATTTTGGTGTAGATACATGAGGGTCATCAACAATAATTTCTTCATGTACTTCACATCCTTAGATCAAATTCACTCACAATCATATCTGTGAGTGAAAATTTTTCTCTTCTTAGTACAGAGAGCCTAATAACTTTCTCCATTTTTTAATGATTTGAACGCATTTAAACAAACATCACTACTTACGAGAAACTTACAAGCTATTAGATCTCATAGCATGTAACCCCTTTGGCATCATAGTTCATCATCTAGAAGATCGTTTTATTCAGAATCAAAGTACTCTGCATCATTCATCAATGGAGTGGGAACAACGTCTTTAACATTTATAGGGCAATCTTTCTTCATGTGGCCGCTCTTGTCACATCTCCAACAAGCCACTGTCTTCCTCTCAAAAGACTTACCGTAGACTGTGATCTCTCCTCCGCATGTAGTGTACTCCTAGATCTAGATTTCATCGTTTTGGATTCAACTGATCCAATTGTCGCAAGCCCTTGAACATGATTGACCATGGATCACAATCAACGCTATCCCGAAAGTACACATGCTTGTTTTTGCAATGATTTCTTTCATAAAAAGTTTAATCTTATGATTGTCTGTTATCTTTCATGTCGAGAGCTTTTTGATGATATCGATTTTTACTATATTACAACAAGAATTTTGTCAGACAAAATATTTTTGATGTTTGAAATATTTGAACAAAATATTTTGGAAGTTGTATGCGCTTGCTTCTTACCATCAGCGACTGCCCAACGTGTCTAAACTGTCCAACTTGCTTGATATTGTAGGCGACGAACGGTCAGGTTTGAATTATCCAATGTGCTCGGACCTGGCTGCTCGTCGCGTGTCAAGCCACACGTATCTCTCACATATGTTTGTTGTGTCACACATGTCGTCCGCACCGTGTGTTAAATCTTTTGTGTTGCTCGCCCCCACGTGTCACTTCGTCGTTCGTGCTCACCGCATTGTTTGTCTTATCGAGCGTCACATGTCGACATGTCGTGAAACCCGTGTCTACGTGGCTTATCCATGCTATGCCATTGCGACACATGACGACGTCTTGTGCATTTTGAATGACGTGAACATGACGTTTGTTGACGTGGCACATGCAAAATGTTTTGGCTATTGGAGAACGTTGACGTGTCGCTCGTGATTTATGACACTTGTTTTTGCAAAATTAACTTACGCGCAGTGTGTTCGCCGAATTGAGATACACTTTGTGTTTTTTGGATGAAGCATGCATGGTTGTTCATATGGATGAACGCAACCAAAAACGAGTTCATAATCTTTGTCCGTGTAATTAAAACAGATCAAGTGAGTTGAGATAGACAATGTGTTTTTTGGATGAAGCATGCGTGGTTGTTAAGGTGGACGAACACAACAAGACACAAGTTGGTAATATTTTTTTGCGCAATTGAAACAAGAGTTGGTAATCTTCGGCTACGTAATTAGAGTAGATCAAGTGAATTGATATAGAAAATGAGATTTTTGGTTGAAGCATGTGTAGTTGTTCAGGCTTGTAAATGTCAATTTAGTGATGCGATCTGAAGTATCTAGGAATCGTATGGCAAAACATCATATGCACATATAGTGAGTCCACTCAAAACGTTTTCTTCAATTACAATGTCTAATACATCGGTAGAGTAGCTTCTTGTGATAGTAGAAGATCTTTCATTGAAGACTCACAAGAAGCTACTCTACTATAGTATAGGTATAGTAGAGTAGCTTCTTGTGAGGCTTCAATGAAAGATCAAACGCATTATGCGTCAAATCTTTCGTGTTGTTCGTCCTCATGGGTCGATTCATCATTTGTGTTCACTGCACTGTTTGTCCAATCGAGTGCCACATGTCAATCTATCGTGAAATTCGTGTCTACATAGCTTATCCACGTCATGTCACTGCGACACATGACGACGTCTTGTGCATAACGAATGATGTAGACGGTACGTTGGTTGACATGACAGATGCAAAATTTTTTGATTATTGGGGGACGTTGACATTTCGCTTGTGGACAATGACACGTGTTTTCGCAGGATTGACTTACGTGCAGTGCATTTGCCGATACAGACGCAGCCACGCGATAGTACTTGGCTTGTGTTTGATCAATCATTGAAGCCTCACGAAAAGCTGCTATACTCTAAAAATTGATGTATGAGACATTGTAAGTGAATAAAACCTTTCGAGTGGGTACGCTATATGTGCATATGATGCTTTAACGTGCACTTTCTAGATACTTTAGATAGCATTACTGAATTGAACATTTACAAGCCTAAACAACATTTACACATGCTTCAATCAAAAAACTCATTCTCTGTCTCAATTCACTTGATCTGCTCTGATTGCGCAGACGAAGATTACCAACTCTTGTTTGGCTGTGCTTGTCCAGTTGAACATCCACGTATGTTTCATCCAAAAAAAGTAGTCTCTTTCTCAACTCATTTTATTTGTTCCAATTGCGCAAACAAATAGTATCGACTTGTGTCTGGCTGTGTCCGTCCATCTTAATAACCACGCATGCTTCATCCAAAAAACACATTGTCTATCTCAACTCACTTGATCTGCTCCAATTGCATTGACGAAGATTATCAACTCGTTTCTAGTTGCGTCCATCCACCTGAACAACCACGTATGTTTCATCCAAAAAACGCAATGTCTATCTCAACTCATTTTATCTATTCCAATTGTGTAAACAAAGATTATCAACTCTTGTTTGGATGCGCCCGTCCACCTTAACAACCACGCATGCTTCATCCAAAACACACATTCTTTATCTCAACTCACTTGATATGCTCGAATTGCAAAAACAAAGATTATCAACTCGTGTCTGGCTGCGTCTGTCCACTTGAACAACCCACATGCTTCATCCAAAAAATGCAGTCTCTATCTCAAATCAGCAAATCTGCTCCAATTGCGTAGACAAAAATTACCAAATTGTGTCTGGTTGCGTTCATACACCTGAACAACCACGCATGTTTCACCCAAAAAACTCAACTTCTATCTCAACTCATTTTATCTCTTTCAATAGCGCAGACGAAGATCACCAACTCTGGATGCTCACGTCCACCTAAACAACCACTAATGCTTCATCCAAAAAACACATTCTCTATCTCAACCCACTTGATCTATTCCAATTACGCAGGCTGAATCCGTCCACCGCTCGAGAGTTTGCTTGTCAGGTGTTAACTCGGCTTGCGTTTGATCTTTTGAAGCCTCACGAGAAGCTCAAGACACCTGCTCAATGAATGGAGAATGAAATGTCAAATTGTAGTCACAAGATATTTTACTCCATGGCAGGTGATATTATGCGAGTTATCATTTTTACCTTCAATTTCAGCGACAAATGCCAGTCATGTCTGCCAGTCATGTCTGTGACTATGGACGGGAATGATTCGTGAACATGGAGACAACTCCGTTGAAGCAAAAGAGTTACGACAAAACCACCACCGTGTTCGGAATTGACGAAGATGGAAGTGCTAAAAGATTTATATATAGTTGACTTCACGGAGAAAGAAGATTAAACAATAAACATAACTTGGGTTATTTAACCTACAGTTCCAATTATTGTCTTAGCTAAAAACAATTAAAACACGAGGTTATTACTTAATCAGAATTAACTTCAACATGAAGTAAAATAAATTAGCTCCAAGTTTATATAAAGATCATAGTCATTAGATTGTCATATATATTGTATCTTACACTAAATTATTTGTATATAAACTTACAATCAAATTATGTAAAAATAATTCAATAATTGTGTAACAAAAGCAAATGTATCGTTACAAATGTGATGCATACACTTCACATAACTGAAACATACTTTCAGGCATGTGTATTGACACATTTGATGGATACATACTTATATATCAGATTGTATTCAAAGAAATTTTTTCAGAGAAAACAAGTGTTCAATGGCACTCTTTGCTAGCCAAAGTACTTGCATGTGATTAGATGTCATGTATGCATAATCATTTTGCGTCATATTTAGGACCCTCATGTTTTAAGGTCGCAATGTAAATTCATACATTACCTCTGATTCGGAAATGTTCTACAAATCCTTTACCCAAGAGTGTATGTTCCAGTGTGGCTAATTATCTTGTACGCTCCAAACTAGAAGACTTAGACATGGCAATAGGGAGGGAGCCAAGTGGATAGCAAAGAAAGGCGAAGGAAAGTACACCCTTGGATTCTAACTGTATTGTGCATGCACACAATCATTATAATTTAGAAATACATAATACTGCATTTTCATCCCTGAAATGAAGAGATGAAAAGCTTAGGAGGATTGGATTCATACATTTGAGTATTACGTGCTCTCATCATTCTGACTGTGATCTGCATGGATAAAAAATAGCTAATTATTGTAATCTATATTTTTAGGCGAGCTTTCAAAATTGACTTTATATATATATATATATAGAGTAGCGCAGACATGACAACCGGGATTGGGAATATGAAGACATAGACCTCCAGGTCAAGCGGTATAATGACTGAGGCAGACGTACTCGAGCCAAGCCCCGGTAGAAACCATAGAAACAAGGAAAGGTGGGCACTGTCCTCAGATGACAATCAATGACATGATGGCAATTCGAGGCCCACCTTTTTCTATGATTGGCCGAGATATGGAAGTAAGGACTCGAAAAATGCAAGTCATGAATTTTCGGCCTTGACTTCCTTCATTGATGGCACATGATAAATGGCAGTACCACTTCCAGTTCTGCCCTCCAACGATGAACAGGACTTTACTCTATAATAAAAGTCCTTTTCTTCATTGAAAGCAGAGTGTCAAAATGTTCCTTCTTTGAAAAGCCAGCTCATGAGGAGCGGTAGCCAGATTACGGTGGATAATTTTTAGGTGAAGAATTATCGAAAGCACCCTGTCGTAGAGTACAAGGCAAAGATAACAAACAATCACAAAAGCCCAAGAACGGAGAAAGAAACTCGAAGGTCTTTCTCGCGCCAGATACCAATTATCAAGCCACCCGCAACAACTCGTATTCTATTGCAATTGAAACGTATACAAGAACGAGGATGCACTACTTGAAAAAAAGAAGTCAGGTCAAGTAGGGAAGATGGACGCTGCAGGAGCAGAATTCACACAATAATCCAGAAGGTGGCATAATTAAAGAGAGAAAGGGAGATTTGACAATTTCCCACAGCAAAAGAACATATGGAAAAAAAAAAACGTTCGATGCAGTGCGTATCTCAAATTTCCAGAAGAGACCTCCTAAAAACCAGTGGAAGTGGTACTCTTAAAATTTATCCGAAAACTTTAACAAAAATTCCCGGTGGAGTACTTCCCACCAGAGTGGCATCATGGATTTTATTAGGACTGACAATTGAATTTATCATTACAACGCATGTTGACCTTGAAGGCTACGCAACTTCAACTGAGGAAGTGACTGGCTATGTGATGACTTCGTGATAACAGGAACATATCAGATCAGCGGGCTTCACATTTATGGGTAAAGAGCAGAGCAAGCTATCGAGTTTCCTAACTCTCGTGTATTGTACAGGGCTGAAACCATTCATGAGGCAGGAGTTAGTGGTAAGCCCTAGTGAGGACAAAAGCTTTAAGCAGCCTGATAAATTTTTGACAGCTAAATTACAATCGGACAAGCACTATTTTACAGGCTCAGATTAATTTGTGGTTAGGTTGAAGGATGAGGTGGTTCAACTAAGTGGATGCAAAGTAGCAGCCAATATGTTTCTTGTGAGCTAAAATTAATCTCATAAAAAGTGACATGAACTGCGCTTAAGAATTTGTGGAGAAGAGGAATCTGAGTGTATCAATAATAGAGGGGCCGAAAGAGTATCTCCTTTGTATCTAGTCCTCAAGCCAGGAATTTCTCTGCACAATACATAATAAAAACACTGTCATATAGATTGAAGTGAGAGTAACTTTGAAAGGAAGTTTCTTAGCTCAGGTAGCGCATAGAGAATGAGTACCACTCAAGACAGTAAGAATGAAAAGCAGCCAGAGATTTTAGGCGAGACTTCAAACGAGTGAGCATCTCATGGATACCTGGAGTACTGGGTATAATCGTCCATCTCCATCTCTGGTTCCACCTGGGCCAAGAGCAAGCCACTAATCCGTTAGACAACATTTCACAAAACCGCTAAGAAAAACCCTCTCTAGATACTGAAAACTGTGGTAGGTCTACCTTGAAAACGGATCTTAACGCTTCAGCAGTTCCATCTAATTGGCGAAGATAACTGCTTCTGACTCTGTGCCCACATGGCGAACGACGGGTGTGGAAAGTACACGGGGAAGGACCCTAAAAAGACATCCGTATCACAGCATAATTTCGAGCAAGTACCTCATCCACGAAAATTGCTGAGCCTGATTTACTTAGTTCAGGCAGCGGAAAAATTTGTCGACATGCCGTTGAAGCCGCATATTGGCCAGATTTAAGCATGTAGCTAACTTGAATGAGAAAGTCCACCACGTGATTATATATACTGCACAAAGAGAAGAAAGTAACCTCTCATTAGTTTCCTCAACTTTGACAACGAGTTGGTGCAAAGTTAAAGATTTGATAGCCAGGGCCTGGAGGTACCTAAGGCGATGCCGATTGCAAGCCGTAAAAAAGGCAAGAAGACCTTTCACTATGCTCCCGACTGCATGAAAGACCTGCGGAGACCATAACAATCCGTTATATAAACAATTCACCTCTCCAAGAAAACGCAAAAGAACTGGACGAGCCGGGTATGAATCTTTAGGACGTACGCTGACAGCTCTTGACAGTGTCAGCTTGAACAACCCAGGAAACGCAAATTGATACAACACCCTTAAACCACAAGCTACTGAAGGCATCACTGTTAAAAAAAATCTCAACAAACAACAAACGTGGGTCTCCATCGCAACTAGACTATATAAACAAATTGCAGAAATCGCGGACATATTGGCAGTGCTAAAAGATGAAAAAAATAAAATAATAACATATGAGTGTCAATCACCAACCTTGGAGAAGATATCGTTCCATAGAGTTCTCCACAAAGACGGACCTGGAGTAGATGACTTGACAGCTTTGAATGACTGCAATGCAGGTTGTCCAGTCGCGATAAGAACCTGCACGCCATTGTAAATAGCACTACCTATGTTTCGGAAGCCATCCATCACTTCAGAAGATAGCGCTGATACGAGACTACCCAGAAACTTCACAAGCTGAATCGGAAGTATGAATATGGTCCAAATAGCAGAAAACATTGGGTACAAGACAGCCATCCCTGTGAAGACACATGTCAACAAACATGTTAAAACTGTGTAGTATTTCGTCTACAACGCAAATAAAAGTTTGTTCTTGGCAGAAATCAAAATAAAAGACACTATGGGAAACGAAAGCGGCATATCGTGACTGCTGAAGGATCTCTCCATTAAGCTCACAGTACGTCCTAGCAATCCACACGTCTAGACTCGATGGCATTGTTGACAAAACACATGAGAAACTCACCGAGGTACCAAAGACTGTTGAACAGAGCGACTATAGGCCAAACCAGTATGCTTATCACACTGCTGACACCAACGATTACAGACGAGAATGTTGAAGAGGTTAACTGCAACACTGTCTGTACTCCAATCGAAACTCCTTCCCACACCGGCATGAAGGTCTCCCCGAATGCAATTAGAGGCTGAAGAACCGGTCGCATAACTAACGTAGATATCTGTCGAAAAGCTCGAATGACAGCTACTGCCCACTCAAATGCCTTCTCACAGTTTTGAAGAAATAACATCGTGCCCAAGTACTTGAGTCGCGAAACCATTCCCCACTCTTCTATCATCTCAAAAAGAGGACCGCATATATGCGCGGCAGTGGCCTTGAGAATGGGAACATTTTTGTAAAGATCGTAAAAGCCTATCAGCACGGTAACTACTGAGATAAGGTAATATATAGTCCCACATAAAGGACGCATCCATGGACGATATAGTTGGCACAAAATTGGATAAGACTGCATGAAAATAACCCAAGAAGGAAGCCCCGACTCAAGCATCTTCAACAGTCGTTGATCTGCCGTTATGATTCGCCGCAACTCCAGTGGAAGCAAAGGCTCGGAAAACCTGAATAGAATGAGCGTATCTCGATAAGTTTCAGCTGGCGCGATGAGTCTAGCTGGATGGACATAGACTCGCTCTTGTCTCACCTCTGGCATGCCACTACATTTCGAGCATTCTTGTGAACCGCGCATAGCTGAGCCTTCTCTCAGCAGCCTGCATCTGGAACAGCGCTCAAACGACCTGTTTCTTTCGAAACTTTTGCTGGCCACGCCCGAACGCTGACTCCGGTCGACAAAGGTTTTCGATTTCTCCATACCGAATGTGCTCACTGGTTCTGAAGATGTCCTCCCTTCAGCCAGAGATTCTCTTCCCTCTGCTTCGCAAACCTCAACAGGCCAGATACGCGACTTTTTAGAATCCTTGTACTGGCGAGAGCTGAAAGGTTTAAACTGACTGTGACCCTGCTTTTGGAAAGGCTGTCCGCTGAATGGGGAGGACGGAGGAGTGAAATACTCGGAGCATGAAGAAGTAACCTGTTCCAAGTCCGGACGCTTGCCAAATCTAGAACTCAAAGAGTTGAAGTAGGCCCTGCCGTATTCCCCTGTGACGTGGGCACCTGCCCGACTTTCACAAGGCCAACTAGTTTCCTCTAGCTGTCTCTTTTTTACTTGCTTGTCTCCTGCTCCAGAAGCTCGTCCTGTCGGTGAATCCTCCATGTTCTTGGCACCTTGGTGCAAGTTAACAGTCGAGGGAACCCTCTCTCTGACTGCTCGCGACCCTTCTGAAACTAGTCCTGGTACGTTTGTATCCAGACTACTGCATCTAACAACAGTGCTGCCATTCTTTCCGTTAAGTATTTTAGCTACACTCAAACTTGGGCCCACATCTTTCGACCCGGATAATATGGTGGCATAGCAGGCTTGAGCCTGCTCCAGACTGTCAAACTCCCGTTTAACCATAGCTCTAACTTCCAGTCCGACGCAAGTATCTGTCTGCATGCACACCAAGATGAGAGCATTAACTTTGTACGATATAAAAAATCAGCTAACTTGGCCAAGCGTGTTAATCCTATCATCTCACGTTTCGGGTGCGGAGACCACCATGACAGTAACTCCCCCAACACAGGAAAAGCAATACAGAATCGTTACACATAAACAAGGAATATTCTGGTATAATGTCCTCGGTGCAACAACCTGAAGCACATCCAAAACACATGAATCAACATACTGATCACAAAAGAAACTGGAAACTTGTAAGTGGCACCTAATTACCTGAAGTTCGTTCAGATAGTTAATGCCCCGCACATCAGCCCACGCCACTTCAAAAGCTACGCAACCGTGCAAACCATGAGATGGTTTTTTCAGCTGGGCTCGCTCCTTACAGCTTCGCTGCAAGGCGTCTAGTAACGATAGCCAGCCATCTTCTTTCTCCTTTTCAGCTCCTAATCTGATATCTGTTTTCTCTCTCTTTAGAAGTCTATGGTGGCCGGTATCCACGGCATGGTCTCCATGGTCTCCCATAGAGTAGTGGCGCAACCGATTGGCGAAGGGTGATCCCCTTGACTGGCACAGCCAACAACAACGACGGTTAGTAAAGGAGGCCCCTGGCACGAAATAGTGAATGTATGATTAGTCGATACTTCGTAACGCGAAAGCGGAATACTGACCTTGGTGACCATAAGTTGCCATAGCTCTGCTGGCCTGGAGCGTCGAGCGTTTCCTGTCCAAGGGCCGTTATCGACAAGAAATACGAGCTTCAAACCTTCGTAGGCCACTAGCAGGAAAAGCCTAGACACATACGATTGAACATCCCTGCGAAGCACAACCTCCCGTTAGAATTTCCAAAGAACAAATTTCTCTTCTAGTAAAACAGGAAGAGATGAAATTTTCTTAGGCAGGGTATGCCAGAGTAAAGATGGCATACCCATACCGTTCTTTCTCACACAGTGAACCCCCGAGTATTGACTGTGTCAAAAGCCACATAGACAACCTCGTCTACCCTGCTTCAGCGTCCCCGAGCGTTCCCGGAACGCTTCAAGACCCCAATGAGTTACTCAAAATACTCCTCAAATTCCTGGCTTTACGTAGAATCACCTTACGCTGGCTGCATTTCTCAGAAGCCTAAAAGAACTCAGTCTCACATTGTGATAAATTCCCAGATTACACGGATAATTGCAGAGAAAAAAATTGCTCCGAAGTGGTTTTGAAACAGGCACTGTAGTCTCTCAAAATACGTCGTGTGGCGTTCTACAATTGAAAAAGAGGGAAAAAGGGGGGTCTCGCGAGCTGGAACGTTCGAAGATCTGAACTCAGGTGGGCACGGCAAATTCAACTCGAGAACCAACTAGAGGGGATCAAAAGACTTTGCCCCAGATTCCAGCGATCAAGCTATGCCCAGGACGTCGAACCACGATAATGAACAGCCCGAGAGAAGAAAGAAACTGACTGCCCCGGGTGAAAGGTAGCCATCCTTTACGACGTCCACGGAGAAAGTAACATGGCCAGGTTCCTCGAACTGCTGGACACATCTTTCACGTCACCATGATGAGAACAAATTACAGCCCTAACAGGTGACCCTCGACCACATTCTAACCCAGAGTTCTAACAGGCGACGCGCTCGACGGAATGTGCCATAACTCGCCACGGTTCCTACGTAAGGTTTGCGTTCCGACGGGAGGTAGCAACACAAAAAACCCACTGATCACAGCTTCATCTCTGAGCAATTCGGTGATGCGATTAACCGACTCTCTCCTCCACCCCGTAGAAACCCATCGTAACGGTCAAATCCCCTTCTGGCAGATGGACAGTCCATCGCGCTCGCTCTTCTTCCCGACGTCATTGCGGTGGGTCACCGCTGGCTGGCAGGCCAATCCTCGACAATCGAACCGAAACCACAAAAGCGCGGAGAGAAAGAACGTACCCGATCTGCAGGCTTGTGAGAGCATAAAGACGGCCAATCGCCGGCACAGCCATTATCGAATCCTCGTACTTGCCCTTGTATGGGGGGCATGAGTCTACCATTCCCTGCACATTCCGTGGTGCTCTTGTCTCCTCCTCTGGGGGTCCTGGGTTTCGTCTCGTCGTCGGATCGTTCAGAACCTCTCCTCCTCTTCCTCCTCCTCCTCCTCCTCGTCTTCCTCGTCTTCCTCTTACTCGCTCGACGGAGTTGAGAGTTAAACGCAAAGAAAATAATTACGCGAATTCGACTGCCTCCCGCTTCCGCATTCCTCCTGCTGCTGCTGCTCCTGATCTCCTTCTACGACTCCTCTCGATCGATCGGGACACTGTCTCTCTCATCAGCGCACGAACAAAACCAAACCGGCAAATTCCTCACAATCCCTCCATGAGCGTCGATGTGTCGTCTCGTCTCGCTAGCGGGACCGTCCGAGGAAGAAATCCTCTCACGCTCGCGAGACGAAGCCCTGGCCAAAGTAGGAGCCAAAGAGGCCGAGCTCCAAGAGCGTGACGGGACACATGCCCTGCCCCGCCCCGCCCCGGCGCCAGCATCCAGGTTTCCGTCCAGTCACGGCCCCAACTGCCACGTGAAGGGGCCCCGTTTGTCGTGTTCACATGGCTTCCCTCCCCCGCCACCCTCGGTCGATGGATGGATGGATGGAGGGCATGGAGACCGGCTGCCGGAGGTCTTCCCGGGGCCGCCCTCCGTCCCGGTCTGGTGGGCCGGGCATGGCAGCTTTGGTACGATTGACGGTAGAATTTTCGATCGACGTCACGCCCGCATTTCATTGGCCGCCTCCTGCCCTCGGCCATACCTGCTTTAGCCGGTGGTTCCGGGTGCCCCCGTTGCCTGCCCAGGGAATGAAGGCCCAGGTCTTTTTTACGTCCCCACTGTGTACCTTTTGTTTATTTTATTTTGTGGATATGTTAATTTTCCAGACTCTGAACTCCTGGCAGGATTTACATTTTTGTTTTATAGTCGATCATATACTAATCTTTTATCGAAACTTGCAGCAGAATGTTCTTCGCTCGAATTTATTAAGACTTCAATAGTTATCCCTTCCGCATCTACATTACTATCTATCTTCTGCATCTGGAAACACCTGGTTTACTTTTCCTTGTTATTATCTTGTACGAGATGTGTAACAATGTTAATATCTATGTGCTTTGCTTGCAGGACTGTGAGGCCAAAGTCCGTACCCAATCGACATGCAAAATACCACTTCCTCGATTCTTCTGGTTTTATCAAATTGGTGTTGTCAGTTACCTTAGGTCCGAGGCCTACGTTTTGCCCAACTTGGTCAGCTATCTATTTCTTCGTTTTCTATGGTATAACATGATATTACATAAAATAATGAGTCTAAAAACCTTTTTGTTCATCCAGAGTGGATGGGACGTTTATCTTTGAAGTTATTCGCGAAGTTTGTACGCGAGGGTAGATATATCACGGGGATAAAAATCGCTATGTTTTGCAATTGACTATGGTCATGGCATATGATCTGGTGAGAGGTACTGCCTATAAAATTTTTTCAGATTGACAAGTACATTTCATTATATTAATTATATTCATTATTAGAGGAAGGATCTATATTAATCAAGGTTTTCAAATATATGATAAAGTGGAGATTTTTTTTCAATTTCCTTAGCTTCAAAGGTATGTGAAAAGTATGGACGCTAGATTTAACATGTTGGTGAAAAAATGTGTTCAAATTCTTCTGTATCGTTATGGTAAAATTTATAGGTGAGGATCCACTTCATTTGATGATTAATCGGATGCTCACCTAGCACCAACTATATATTTCGGACATATGAGTTGCAATATCAACATCTAACACTTTTGGTTCAATCCATGTATGACTTGATGACCCTTCCCACTGTATTTAATTACTTGAGAGAAAATGGGTTTCATTACCGAAACATTCTTTACTCCTCCTTTGCATATCTCTGAATAGTCTGTGCTCTGCATCACTTCATAGCACTGTGTGTAAATGGGCAGGGACACACGAAGTACGGTTGAACTATTATTTGGCGTGATGCATGTCCTTGTCAGGGACGCTCTCAGGATGGTGTCCAGGGTGAGAGTTGAACATTATCACCATGCTGTCGCCAGAGATTTTGGAATTAGACTTATTATTTCGAGCAAGAGATTGAAAGCAAAGCTTGCAAACGAGACAACGAAATTTTTTTCTCCCAACGAAATCTTATTCTCGCCAAGATCGGACGTCAGCAGGTTCCGAGTCGAGAGAGGACTTGGAGAGAATCACAAGCCGCGTAAGAAGAAAACGCTGTGAGTGTGATTCCTGAACACTTCGACGAAGGTTTGGGAAGGAATCTGCAATGATCTGCAATACACGGTATAGTACACATGTAGGACACGGAAAACGACGACTGGGAGGGAGCTCATGTTCATTCCTTTGACTTTGATGCACCGTGAGAATACGGTTATGTCGCTCTTTTGGCAGTGTACAGTATCGGCTGCACACAATCCAAGACGCACCTAACTCTGCCAAAGTGCAATCGATGGATGGTTCAAGGTACGACAGAAGGGCGGAACTCGAATACGTCGCTCCTTCCTTCCGCTCGTAACTTTGGACAATGACTTGGAAATCTTTCCAATGCTGTTTCCTCGACTGTTGAGTCGACTTTTCTATAAGATATGTCGATACATGTTGTTCTTCTTTTACAAAATACCAACTTCTTGTTTTCCAATAAAGATGAAGGTACATTGCTTCCGAAGCAGGTGAGAACCTTCCCAAGTCCAATAGCATCGATCGGAGAGGAGTAAAAAAATTCATCAAAATCATTGTCCATCGCTCGCTGTAAGGACTAAAAAGTCTGTGAGAAGAGTAACTGCTTTTGATATCAACCTGGGAAATCATCAAATTAGCATGTTATGAGTATCATTTTTTGTAGTAGAGCACATAACTCAGTATATTCTCATATGCAAATTGTATCTACATGTACCAACTAGTTATATAGGGCACAAAAGCTGATTAGGCATCTATCGTTATATGTTGTAGAAATTGCCGTGTGGTCTACAGCGTGATTGGAAAACCAAGAGTTTGAGTTTGACGTAAAACTTATGAGAGAGCGGTTTTCAAAGTTGAGACTATGAGAATGCAACCAGGGGGTGATTAGATTTTCCCCTTTCTATGAGAAGTGGAACGAAATGCAAATTTCATTAGTTTAGATTATAATCTCTCTTTCAAATTATCATTCTTGTTGATATTTTGAGAACAGAAACAATGAAATCTATAACTTTGTTTTTGTATCAACATCTATTTATGTATGTCATGATATGTCAAACTCTTACATTTCTCTAAATTCTAGGGTACTTTAGGGACATGTGAACAATTTTATACAACCTATAAATTGGTTTACAGAATTGCCAGAGCATATTACCTTTTTATATGAAAGGAAAAGTCAATTTGTTCGAACTCACTTAAGTAACGATGCTTCAGAAGTCACCAAATCATGTCATCGAACATAACTGATGTTGTATGAAGCGCACATGATTCGCTTTGTCGATTGAGGTGGAAAACACTCGAAATTCCTGTGGCCAACATTTGAACTTTCGAGTCCTGTCGGGCGGGGGCACAACGGAAACTGCATCCGCCAGAATCTGCCAAAGGTGCTCGCATGATTCGCGACCTTACCGGCACGGCGCGCGACTGGCATGGCGGGCGCCCGCTTGCCATGTCAACGTGGAGGACAACGTGGAAGCCCAGACATCAGGCGCAACATGGAAAATAATGCACCAGAATGAAAGCCCCGAATGCCGAAACTGGCAAAACCCGCCCTCCCTCCCTCCCTACCTCCTCCACGTGGACTCGTGGAGAGAGCTTCATAACCGGCATCATCCGCCCGTCCGTACAAGACGGCCGCAAACCTGACGAGATCGCATTTATCCTCCGTCCGGCATGGCGCACCTCACGCCCCGGCCCGCCCACAGGCCCCACCCCATCCCCTCCCATGCTGGCGTGCTGTCAAGCACAAGGGCCCGGCTGCATGGAAGGAAGCCCGACATGGTTGACGAGACGGACCGCGGGTCAAAATTTCGGATAAAGTAGGACAGTCTGGGGAGGGACCGCCTGATTAGAGGCTACTCTTCTTCTTCTAGCGAGAGCAGCGCTCCTCCGGCTCTGCTGGACCCGCAGGGTTATAAAGCGCTGACGGCTGTCAGTCCGACATGGTTGCCAGCTGCGCAGTTCGTTCTCACTGACTGATTCCATTATGAACCCGTTCCTTTCTGGAAGATTTCTGCTACCCGGGTCAGAAGTTGACCGTGGTTGGGTTAGGGTGGGTCTTAATTCGGTGGAGATGGTGGTCGTGCCAGTCGACAAGCGGGCGGAGGAGGAAACTGCGGGGCGAAACTGGGTTTGGGACGAAGTCGATGACAGCTGGGGAACTGAGCCAGCACCTACGCGGTAGCTCGATGTCAGCGGTCGGAAAGAGCGGCAAATCCACAGTGCTGCGCTGTTGCGGATATGCAATGCCGTCTATTTAAATTATTTGTTTTTTTCTGGGCAGGGTCGAAACGGGCAGGCGGACGAGGAATGTCCGAGGGCAGGCAGGGCTGAATCGAATCTGCCATGGGTTGCGAAGAAATGACCAGAAAATCTTCAGCAAGAAAGAATTCACATCAGCTGAAGCTCAGAAGAAGCTCGAGAATCCTGCGCATGACTTGATAATGGAAATGACCAGAAAATCTTCGGCAAGAAAGAATTCACATCAGCTGAAGCTCAGAAGAAGCTCGAGAATCCTGCGCATGACTTGATAATGGAACCTCCGCGTTCTTCAGTTTGGTGGACTCGAAAATAGAGATTATTGAACTGCGCTGGAAATCGGGAAATCGGAGCATTGAGATTCAAGTTGTGGGAAAAATGTAGGATTTGATGTGAACGTAGTAAGGGAGAGCAAGTTATTGCGTGGAACCTGGCGAGGAAGGCACTCTACGGCCTATCGCTTTCGTGGATACAAGACACGGATTGGTGAACTGGGTCCGACCTTTGGAACAATATCCTTTTGCTCCTGAGTTTGCTCTATACTGAATTTGATTGCAATCCACTATTGATGGCGAAACATCGTATCCCCGAACTATGCAAAGAGCGTCACGCTCTTTGCTGAAATATCGGCTCTCGGCTGCAGCATCACACATGGCATGGCATGGCATCGTGCCCTTTTCTAGAAGATCTTAAAGATGCACATCCGGCGTAGATATCAACAGTTGATGGAAAGCTTCGTTTTTCTCCTTGGGCTTCGTGACTACACCATCTGCGATCTATTCACTTCAGGTTTGGCCTCGCCTCCAGCCATTTACATGTCCTCTTTCTCGAATCCCGAAATTTCATGAGAGGGCCTTGTGTCCGTCTTCCTCCACTGTCGTCCTTGTTCCCATCAAAAGAGGCGACCGGCCATCTTGCGAATTGGTGTCATGTGACCGCTGCCTCGAATCCCCACATTGGGGTTGCAAACGATTCGAAACGAATGATTGATTGAGCTCATCACTGTTTCCTTCAGGTATGGCCCCGGCGCTCATTTACAACTGAGTTTCATGTTTGGATAACGTGTCCATTTCCTTTTTCCACATTCCAAAACATGGACTGTATACATTATACACTTCGGTTCATACTGCGGCAATACTACCTGCAGAATGCATGACTTGTACCCTTATTCTTGTTTTTATTCGTGGTTTTCAACTGAAATTTCTATAATTAAATGGAAAGGTATGTTGACATATTTTAACTCGGATAGTAGTCGGTTGTAGACTCCTCTTCATGTTTCTTTGATTTCAGTATTGAGCGATGTACGATTCCGACTACTCTACCTAAACACCAGAGAAGGCTCTCCCGTGATTCCATTCCAACTATTGGACGCTGGGAGTTTCTCCAAAGCTTCTCTTTTTTCCTTGAGTGGTTTGAATGAGAACTCATTCAAGAGAATTCATTCAGCAAGCTGAAGTGAACTCGAAAAGAAATGGGCAAATATCAAACGCCTAGAAACTAATCCAAACCGCGCACGAACGCGGAGGCTACCGAGCATATCAAGAAATGTCCATTTCTTGACACCCCACCTCAATCCGAACGAAAGGTTTTATGATGAGACCTGAGTCAAATTGGTGAGAATTTCTTCTCCTGAAAGTTGGGACCATTAAACCTTTGCCGTCCGCACTTGTTTAGTGGTTCCAACTGTTAGGAATTACATGCGCCGAAATTACATTAGCTATGACCTTTCGAGGTATACACATTATTTACATGAAGTGTTCATCTTCATAGCAGAGAACCTCCTATTTGCTATCAATGGCATCAAATGTACCACAAACGGTAGACGAAGTTCCATCTCGCAAATGTCCCCCCTGGTGGACATTTGCGACCCATCTTCAAAAGTTGACTCGGTTCAAATTTTTAACTCTCACATCAATCCGAGCATCGAGTTTTGATGCTCGCAACGCGTTGCGAGCATCAAAACTCGATGCTCGGATTGATCATAGAGTCTAGGAGGATTTGGAAGTGTACAATTTGCACATAAAAGTTGACATCAATGATACTCATCATCTTCTTCTTCACCTCAGCCTATTTCAGAGGACCTTCTCAGCAGAGTGACCATGCCGAAACACATATCATTGGATGAAGCTCATTTGACCTACATTCAGTCAAAATTCTCCCAAAGAACTTGAAGCAAGAATATTTAAGATGAGAACCGAACAGTAATTTGGAATGTAGCTAATGTAGCTCTCAAGACTTTCTTTTGAAACCATAAACTAGACGAGATTTCCACTGGATACCAACTATTGACTGGAAATCTCCGTCTGAATCTCTCAACTCCCTAGAGTTCGACGGAAGCGATTCCCATCTTTGTTAGTTCTTCGTCTTTGTATTTACTCCTCTTGGGGCCATTGGTTAGCTCGCAGCAGTTTCTGGGTGGGTGACACGTGTGTGTGTTCATGGACTGGAGTCAGACTTAGAAGATCTCCGATTATCTTTCACAATTGGTCGATGCATAGAAACTGCCTGCAAATGACAAACCCTCAAATATTCGTGTCATCATTCCCAACATTTAGCTAAAAGTTTCTTGCCCAGGTGGACAAGAATCTCGATTTTTGGCAGCTTGAGTTGTGGCTCAGAAGCAGATTGCGTCAACCAGAGTCCCAGCATGCCAAGTGTTGGATCACACGTACTTGAAGCTCTGCTACCTTGAGAAGGTTTCTCCACTAAGTCAAAGATTCGCAGATGAAGGTGTTCGCTACACATCGGCTCCGGATTCCAAGTTGGTCCAGGTCAGTATACAAACCTTCAAGATCACATTCTCATGGGTTCATAACATTTCCCTGCCCAAGCACAAGCAAGATGAGTTACCATAAGAAACCTTGCTAATTAGCACATTCTACAGGAACATCAGAAAGACGACGACGAAGGCGACATATGTAACAGATGCTGTCAATTTCATGGTTTTCGGATGATCCAAACACATCATCGAATAGACAAAAGACAGAGAGCTGGTTGTGAAAATACTAGATAATAAATTCCTGCATTGCTTCAGGCATCATCATCTGATGAACAACATCGCTGTGACAACTTGATTGTCCAACAAGTGAAAGTTATCTTCCCAAGGATCTAAATCAAACGTACATCACAATTTTTTTAGTCTCTGAACATGTCCTTGAGAACCAGAAAAGCACGACGTTAAAATAAGCGAAGCCAGCGAGTGCTTGTTGGTGTGTGAACAGGTCATCGAGCGTGCGAGGGATAATTGATGTGCAACCAGCCACCCGTCGATTCTTCGTTCTTGACATGTGACTGGTCACATCCACATAATCGATAAGCCTAGCCATCCAACGACTGGATTATTGCCAAGGGAACATTGAACTGTAATTTTACTTGTAAGGCCATCAAAAGGTCTAATATGACATGTCCTGGAAGACCTTTTGATCACCGATTTGGTATATTACAGAAGATGAAAATTTGTCTTGTTATGAAGTGGTATTGACCGTAAGCTTCTCTAAACAGATTAATGTAACTAATTCATGTTATGATTCACATATTATGAATCATATGACAATAAATGGAGAAAATTATACTTAGTCTTGCGTAGTTAATAAATTCATGTGATATTCTGAATGACACTGGGTCGAAAGCGATGAATGTGGTCAATTTATTGTGTTGTGTTTTCTTAACCATTTTTATGGACGTGATATTCATGCCTAGAGCAATAAAACACTCCAGTAATTTTCCGTCCATTTAGCCATCTCATTTTTTGTTCGCCATTTCTCCATCGAAGCAATATATGAATAATTTCCCTAGCCAAAATATGTTTATAAGATATACATTTGCATTCGATTTGTGATTATTACTTAGATTTTTTTTCTCAATAAATTGAGCAATGCTTACAAACTACCAAACAAGTTATTTGAAAATTAGCAAATAACAAATGCAACAAGCTAAATGGGTTTAAAAACTCTCATTTTACGTATGAAGCACCGTCTTGGACTTTCTTGTGATGCCTTGCTTTACATCAATAAAGTATAAATATATTTTAGTATTGAAGTGAAAAATCTCTAGTCAAGAAGAGTCAGCACAACATCAGCACAGACTAATAAAAACCTCCAAGTACACGTCGGAAAATAAACCGCGCATCTTTAGTTTCATTCTCATTTTGGCTGTAGCTTTCTTGACAAGAGCTTGCGTGCAAGACCTCTTCAGATGCAAATGTGTGATTGATCAAATCAGCGCAGCTGTAGATCAAACAACTGTAAAGCATCATGAATGAAACCCACAATAAAATACTGTTTCACGGTTGAAAACATTTTTTGCTGCAAAATAGAAAAGTGCAAAATTTCCTTGCAGCTATCAGCAATGGACAGCCATGTACCTAAGGAGGTGTCATCGTACTACATTTGAGCTTTTGAATAGTGAGAAGCGCACAAATATCCCCAAGCCTTCTTTCTTCTAAGATGGATAGGTAATAAAGTCGGAGTATGGACTCTTCATATCAAACAAATAAAATTACGAAATCAGATGCACTGTTTGGAAGATGAAGATAGTACGTGTGGGAACTATCCGGTCCTTTATTGTACTGGAAAAGATTGTTTGGCTCATCTTTCGAGAGTTTGCAGTCACTGGCACTTGTCTCCCGATGGCTATCCTTCTGGTTCACTCGTCAGAGGAGCATGACATCATATGAAATATGAAGTCAACTGTTGCAATTTGAAAGTTCCAGAACATGTACTTGACAAAGTAAAGCTCTGTGTCATGTACTGGAGAGAGTTCCATGAGTAGATCCGTGTTTGCATGTCTCGGATTACAGCTTGACAACATTTGTAGTAAAGCACAAAGCTCGATGGTGGTTGCTGCTGAGGCGTCTACGGTAGGATTCGTCTTCTAGAAGAAGTTTGTGTGTTCGTGGAGGTGTTATTGCATATGTAGCATGATATCATGTGGGCCTTATCCATTATTGCCTATCTACACGAGGATCAACTAATGAGAGTAGAATTGCCTTGTTTTTCGTGCATCACACAACCTCGTCTCCTACTTTGGGTCAGATGCATGAAATATGATAGTGGTTCCAATAGCCCCTGGAATTCATTCAAAACCTACAATCAGATACGACGGACTCGATGCTGTACTGCTCTGCTGTTCAAAGTGTAGATGCATCCAACAAATTTGAATCCACGGTTGATTATCGAGTTCTGGAACCATTTTGTACCAGGTCCACTATCTAATAGAGACATTGAAAGCTAGAAAAAAGCAAATGCTCTCTATTCTCTGGGACAGTATTGTCGATCAGTTATTCGAATACCAAGCGAAAGAGATGACTTCTTCGACATAGAGACCCGAGGCCATGTGTGTGGTAAGACATGTGCCTCCGTTGCTTCCGTCAAAATTTGTTTGATAGATTGAATAGTAATACATCCACTCTGTTCGTCTGTCATTTTTCTACTGAAATCTACTTTAACCTACACTCTCGTCGGGTATCAAATACAAGCCGCAAAGACACCTCCGCTCTTGTGTTGGAGTCATGAAACATGAGCTGCTCGATACTTTCTATCACAAAGCCGCAAATAATTCTTCAATTATATTTGGCCTCCGAGATGAGCCAGCTCCTTGGAACGTTGATGTCTCCGTATGCAAATTTATCTTTGGCTCCTTATCATCCAGCTATTGCCTTCCATTTAGAAGCAAATGCCATGCTTCATACTTGAAGTCATGGAGAAGCCAGAAGCAAGCCATGCGGCATCTTGGCATAAAAATTCATGTCGCCGAGTAGCAGCAAAGGATGAACACTGCCTTGACCTTCCTTCAAACCTGTCACCTAACCTTCTTGGGCAGCATAACAAGAGACCGATGTACATCTTCTCCAAATAAACGATTCCTCCTGAACTCCATTGCACTATGAAAAGATGCCGCCTTCGGCTTAATGCTTGATAAAACGACTACTTTCACCCTGCGGAAGAAGTTCAAGCATAAGAAATTTTTCTTCCCGGTAACATCAATGATAACATTTTCCGTCCAATAGTTCTGTGACTGCAACCAAACTTTGAACCCATTCCAACAAGTCATTAAAGAAGTAGGAGTATACCCGCTCGGAGACGAGTCATTCTTTCTCCTCTTCTTCTTCTTTTCAGTTTGCTCCTTGGGTTCAACCTTTTCTGGCAGACTGTTATCAATGTCCACTACCTTCCTGAAAGGGTATGAACAAATCAGTTGTTAGGATTTATCACAAGATACACTGAGGAGAGTATAACACTTCGAGGCGTATATGCGGCATTTACCTTCAATTTCGCTTCATAAAAACTTTAACAATATGTTACATAGTGTTAGAACTGCTCAGGACGTCTCAATCTTGACAAAGAAATAACCCGCAGTTTCTTAACAGCATGCTCTGAGATATACGATGACATCACCCCCACACACAAGTACTGACATAAAATTAATTCACTGTGTTGTCTCATGCGTCCAAGGGAGATAAAAATATATCCACAGGAGAAGCTCAAGCTTTTAGGTCCAGACTGCTGGACAACTGTAGGAATTACTGATAAGAAGAGAAAACCATCACGAACGTAAATTTTATGAAAACTGTTACCAAGCTGATACTTTTGAACACTTACTTTTCCTGAGCAGCCAAAAACTTCACGATAGAGTCGTCTAGAAGACCATGGGCAACTGCCCTCGAGGCTTTCTGCTGATTTGTCAACTCTTCCTCCTGATCAGCATCTGCTTCATCTGCAGCTGCAGCTAGCAGCTCGGCTTTCTGCTTTTTCTTAGTCTTTCCCTCTTTGGGTCCACTAGCCTTCTTCCTCTTCTCCTTGGCTGCAGCAAGAACCCTGCAAATCATGCAACACATTAGTTTCTTGAGGTCACAACACAACACAAACGGACCGATCTTGGATAGATAATGGTAAATAAGAAGAACTTTGAACAGCAGGAGGAAAAATCAAAACTATACCCGGACAAATTTTAAAAGCAACTTTATATAAGCTATGGGGTTGAATCTAAATTGCAGTGTGTGTAGATTTGGTTCAGCGGAGTCAACGGTGGTAAGATACTAGAAATCTACTGTTCACACGTGAAGGTGCTTACATAGCCATGGATGGAGCTGAGGACTTTTCATAGATGGATAAGAAAAGCAAATAATGACAGGGATTAGGGCTTAATTACCTCTTCTGCGACTCCCTCTCCTCTCTTCTGATTCTTTCTGCCTCATCTCTACCCTGATGTGAATAAATAACCACGATCAATGCGGAGCAAGATCACACGAGATTTCTCCAACACTCAGACCATTTGGTCTGACTGTTCAGACAATAAGTCACACGCTACATAAAAAGATCTACTTCTAACTAATGCATGAAAGATGTGCGCGTCTCTTCCTTGTAAGAAGAAGTAATATGAACCTTCGGCAGAACCTCGCGGATTTGTAACCTAAATGTAGCAAATCTATCAATTGTTAAGAATGAAAGCCACTTCGCTCATAAATTTCAAGCAAATCTTTCCCAGAGCTCGTTTCCATGACGAAATTTGGCAGAGAAAAAAAGTAGAAACGATATGTTTCACAATGATTTCAGAAGAACTTGAATACTTCTCTCAGAATTCACGATATGATAAAAAAAATTGAACGCACAGATTATTGAACAAGCGGGACGAAGCCGTAGCAGGCACACAATCATTAGAAAGCGAACACGAAGACCCTAAGGATGCAAACAGTGCAAATAGGGGAGCCCATACCGCAGCCATGTTTACTTCCTCCGGGGCACCATCATCAGAATCGGATTCTGCTTCTACCACCAACTTCCGCGCTGCTCTCCCCATGTCTACAACGACTCAGACTCGACGTCGGTAAGATAAAAATCTGCACACGATCTTTCGAAACAACCTTCTAATTTCACAAACGAGCAACACCGAGCACGAAAATTGATGCCAGGCCAGCTCCAGCTGCTTCTGCTTCAGCTGTTCACGGCTTCACAAGCATTTCCTCCTCTGGTCCACACTCCAACACCTGAAACCTGGTGACCGGGAGAGTTGAAGGGGATACCGCAGACCGTGTAAAATCTGGCAAATGCTAGGTTTGCCGAAATTGAATTAATTCAGGCAATTTTTTATCTTTTAATATTAACACTGGAATTTCACTATTTTTCGTTCGAGGGTTTGGTGATAATCGATTTCAGAATTTCAAAGAAAATTCTTGTCAGGGTGTTGCGGAATTATCTTTCTCCCATTTGATGACGGAAAGGCGCTTTCAAACCTACGTTGGATCATCAAAAGAAAAATGATATGAAGGGAAGATATGAAATGTACCAGAGCACTTCTGTTCCAGACAAGAGAAGACGCACAACTATCAAAACAAATATGCTATAGATTGAAAAAAATGTGAAATGTACTTGGGCCTTTCTAATCTAGCCAAAACATACTATAGAATTGATAAGAAAATAAAAGAGTCAAAGAAAAATATGAAATCTATTTGGATATTTCTGTTGCAGGCAAAAAAAATCACTATGATCAAAACAAATATATTACAAAAATGATATGAAAGTAAGACAGTAAATGGTAAAGTAAAAAAATGAAATGTAAAAAAGTTGCAATTTTTTTTCCTTTTTCTCTTTCGTAAGCAATTTGCTCTCTTGCTAACTTCGAACCATCAAAAATTTGGGCACCTAGAAACACATGTTACCGGCGAATGCACTTGCCTCGGATCACGCATTGCTACTCTAACTTACTGCTCCCCGCCTTCCCCTTGCCTACCTGCGCGAAAATTGCCTATAATTGTTTTTGTGTGTTTGAATTTTGGCCAGATTAATTTGGGCAGTTCTGAAGTTTAAAATAAAACGTCGGATTGTCACCGCTTGAATATTTTTCCGATCTGTCCTTGGCATTATAATTTACTTACATCTGTATCATTTAATCATGGTTTTCAAACAAAACTTGATTGTCCCTACGTACGATCAGTTTTGCATATAGCCGTAGTCGTGCTGTGATGCTTCATAATTTATGATATCAATGGACTTATTTTTTTTATGTGTTGTCCTTTAAATGTGGTAAAACCTGAGTAATAAGTATAGTACTTGATTCTCATCCCTCGAGCCTTTCTTCATGAGCATAAAATACTTAATATTTACTTTCAGCGAATCCTTCGTACATTACAGACTCCGTATGCCAATAGTGCACTGATTTCTCTTGTGCGATGGAAAAAACTTGCAAACAAGTTTGGAATACACACAAGCGATTGGAACCAATTCAACTGGACCTCCATTTATCTGAATTCTATATCACTCAATATATATGTGATAACAAAGTGTAAATTACTTCCGGTTGATTCGTTTGATTACAAGGACATTTCACGATTCTACATATCTAATACAACCGAAGTTTACGTATTCACAAAGGCAATCCTTTTGGCAGATCTACGCTACATCTCACAAACTTCTTTCACGCGTCACTCTTGTGTACGCATGCAGTCAAGGGCAGGAATTGAGACTTCGAATATATTCATCTTGAATGATGTGTACACCTATAATTTGCAAGAGAGTGGAAGAACATGCGCCATCAGATACACGCCTATGTGGTGGGTGGCAATAAGCTAGAAATATAAATATTACGCTAAATTAATAGAAGGACAATGACAATTATTCACGAGGAAAAATCTGTAGTACAATGTGGCTGTTATCCGGTAAATTATCTAAACAAACAAGAGCAAATATCTCTGTTACAGTTTCGTACTAAAATTTGCAATTTCCTTAACTCCAAAGGAAGTTCCTGAAGCAACAATGGTGAATGTCGAGCGGTACCACCAGTGATTCACTTGGCCTACACCTTTGCCTAACTCTTAAATCCCTGTTCTAACCATTGACGTGCAAGGATGTACTTCAGACTAATTTAGCTTTTTCTAATCCCTGCTCTGGGCATTAAGAATATTCATTACTCATTCTCCTCCAAGGATAAAGACTTATTGTAGGCAAAACATTCTACTGACCACGCTGAAATCTTCGCGGGATGAGTAGGACGCTTAAAAAAGGTCAAGCCGCTCAATTAATGAGCTTTGATAGGCTCAAAGTTGAGGGAAAAATTGTCAATTAATTTACGTCACTTCGGTACACAATTCAATAAGTAGAAGAGAACAAATCACGGGGGAAATATACTAGTTGTCATCGAGATTCACATTGAAGTGGCCTTCGTTTCCAGCCTGCACAGAAGATTGCATCTATTAGTGCCGACAGCTGTGTGCGAATCTTTGTTATTAGTACAGCATAGATATAGATCATCTCCTGAAGAAATCGACACCGTATCAGATCACATAGTCACTTACTTTTACCATACTCCGACTTCGATTTCTCATCTGAGTCCTCGCCTTGCTGATTACAGAGTTTGGAGACATGTACATTCTCTGTAAATGCACAACAGTAAGTCAGAAAATTTTCAAATCTATTATCGTGCAGATCCCTAAACGTGATTCATCACACCACTTCCAGACTATCTTGATGGCAATAGTCTGGAAGCCAAGACAAAGCAGCATTTAAGATTACAACATACCTTCTCTTTAGTGGATAGGCTTTGACGCTTTTGATTTCTTGGAATGAAATCAAAAATTTCATGTAGAAGCTCATTCTCCTGATGCACAATACGACAAACGGCAACGAGGACGGGAGCAAAATAAGACTCTGTGGCTCAGATAAGTATTTCTGCTCACAAGGGAGATGAGGCAGGTGATAAGAAATAGATACCAAAGACCATTCGCCAAAGAGTTGAAACTAGACCGATATGGTAAGCATGAATTACAAGACTCTGAAACTATGACTTGACATCGTTATCCACAAGATGGACATACATAGGACGGGCTATGGACAGACGCGTAGAGATAAACGGAATTACAACAGAAAGACAACACTGCGTGGGGAATGAAGTAAACTTCCTCAAAAACAAATCTACTGGAAAAACCATCACGAAGCAATTTTCGCACAGAATTGGACATTTGAAACTTAAGCTTTAAAACAAACAAAAGCATCCAGACATGATACAAATACACTACATCCAAAGATAGCCCTTACAAACTGAGTTATACCTTTGATAACAGTTTCGAATGAGTTGTTCACAACCTAAAAAAAACCATTCGCACTGACACTCTGTTTCACTTCAACTAATTTCATGTATTCTCGACAAAAAGCTTCATGTATACCTTCTCTTAATTGGTGAAAAAAAAATACCTGCATATGGCGCTGGAAACCCTCCGCCAATACCCGTCGCAAAGCATTCAACTGCAACAAAGCAAATGTTTGTTAGAAATACACTCTTCACATTTTGACTTCGGTATTGCTGTAGCAGATAATTCAAAAGGTACATAATATATCCGTTAGAAGTAAACGTCGCTAGTGGCTAATATGCGAACTGTCACTCTCACCAAGCCACGTATTGATCTGGAAGTACTACAATCCAATCCCGAGGTGCCACAGACATAAACAATGTGTAGTTGTACCATAGCAGAAAATAGTTTCAGGACGTTCTTTATAGTTCTTCGATCATCAATTAATATAAACGACAGCAAAGATTACAACCACTTACTGCACGTTTTGATTGCTTTTGCTGCTCCAGTTGAAACTAGGCAAAAGCCATGAGAATCAACTTGAACGTGTAAATTACCTGAATGGTCTGAGACCACGTATTGACCCTCAAAACATCTCCTGCTGGGAGCTTGACTGCCACTTCCCGACAAACTCCATCCTGAAACACTAGCGCTAAGTAGGGTCAAGAGCTACTCATCCAGAGCTAAGCGTTCCGTCAGAACTAAAGACTCGAACAATATTAGCACCAGCAGGAAGGCCTACTTCGCAGCAGGACTGAACAACATGCGCTTGATCTTGAAATAATTATCTGGTTACACTGCCCACACGCTGACTTCCATAAAATCATGGAAAAAATCGGCCATCATAGATGGATCCATTCTATATCCAAGGGTTCAACACAAACTGCCAGCAACTCGACAACAGAAATTGAAATGATGAGATCAAGTATAGATTTTACGCACCTCGATGGTAGTCAGAATGTCACGGAAAGATGCACGCTGGGCATATCGCTCTTTCTTCGACTGTCCTTTGCCACCTCCCTGTACCGAAAGAGCTTTCATCTGCTCCACTACCTTAAGACCAAAATTCAATGTCAGTACAAGCCAATGAGTAGCGATACACGGAGCAATCGGGATGGGCACATGGCCCTCAATGAGAACGACAAAGGAGCTACTTGAGAGGCTTATACGAAATAAGTCACAGAACGTCATCTCCAAAACCTACTTGGGCCTCCTTTGCCTCCATAGCCTTCCCGCCAGCGACAGTTAACTTATGAATTGTCTGCGGCTTAGTGGACGCCAACTCTGGTATATCGGACTTCAAGTCATCGGCTACTGGGATGTCCAGAAGAAGATGTTTGGTGGCCTCGTACAACAGAGCAAGCGCTTCCCCAGTTGCGGTCCTCACAGCCAAATCATCATCCCTCAACAACATAGAGAGGGTAGGAAGGCTCCTGATACGATACAGATACAAGAGTCAACTTTCACACCTTACGACCATCTCATATTGTGATAGCTACAGCCCAATGACCTTGTCTAATCCACCCGGTTGAACTTGTTATCATTCAGGTGAAATTCCAATTTCACGCAGCATACGGCAATCTCGGAACGTCAGAACAAAAAACAATCAAATATCACTATTGCTACAAACTAGAACGAACTTCTACCAGAAGCATGTCAAAAGAATTCGAAAAGTTAAATCCAACATTCAAAACGCAGCAAACTGGTTGGCAGAAACATCTTTCCGACAACGCCATGTAGCTTACAATTCAACATGGTGACTCGCTACGCGCGTTGCTGGTACGGTGGACAAAAGTAGAGCCCAGGCTGACATGGCTGCTGCTTTCACCGCTCCCGATGGCCGATTAGTCCCAAGAGTCTGCAAGTAACCGCTTTTCATATGTTTATTTCTTGCAACAAGTAGAATTATTCATAAAATGGTTGATCAAATGAAATCATAGCAGTGTAGGAACACACTTCCAGCATTCGCGACCTCGGTACCTGATCAGCATGATAATTTCCCTTGTGGGTGCAGACTGGCCATACGGAATTCATAGCACTTTCAGTTGCTTCCAAGTCTGTGCCCCCGACGAATGACAAAATAGCCATGCTGTCTAGAGCCTACGACCAGATACGTACACAAGTGAGATACAAATTGGAAGGAGGCCCAGAAAAAATCAACTGAAAGGGATAAGGAGTAAATGCTAATTCCAGTCAATATCCGTTGTGAGTACACTACTTTCACTATTGAACTTCACCAAGACTACAGCGGTATAACTGTAATGAATTTATTACTTACGGCAATCCGAGCAGCCGGCACAGTGTCAGTCTTGGCAACTTTTACCAGAGACGGCCATGCTTCAGATAGTAACTTTTGTGAGATGTCTCCAGCTCCTGCTGTTAAAGACAGTAAACCTGCGTTTAACAAGTTCAAGCCCAATCACAAGCCTCAGATCGAAAGCTTCAAAAAGAACTAAAGCATTTTCAAAAAGACAAACAAAACCAAATTATACACCAAATTCGGTGCAAATTAAGCCAAAATCATAAACAAATTGAGAAACCAATCTCGCCAATCCATGAGAAAAGAACTCAATTAAATTAATGGCAGCGAACAATGCGAAGGATATACCAAGAGCACGTGACGCCAGAGCCCTCTCCACAGCAGATCCCTTTTTCACAGAATTAAGAAACAGATGTGAAAGCGTTTCATACCTGGATAGATTATCACAAATTTTTGAGAACACGCTCAATTTCATGTCAACAAGCTAAGAAATGACTGCCATACTTGACTACCGCTTAAGCAGTGGGTACAGTCAACACTATGCACACAAAGCTACTAAAAAGACAGGGAAGACGCTGTGCAAGTTAACGTACTTCTCTTCCACAAACTCGACAAGCAAGTTGCTGGTGAAAGCCCCTAAAAGACCGCGTAAACCGGCCTCGCGCGTGGCTGACCTGTGGTTCAAAACGAACTCGAGGTCAGTCTGAGAGCGCATACATCGCGCTAACGAAAATGAGAATCCAGTTAGGAAAGCGAAAAGCTATGCCAAACTAAAAGCTCTCCCTTGCAACTTATCAATGTCCACAACTAACACCTAAATAAACGACAATACTCCCAAATTCTCATGATATTCATGATTAAAGATAGCATATGAACACTGATTAGAACGTGCAGCTCGGCCTTTTGTCACGACAACCAACCCAAGTAAGTCTATCTGTAATTTGTTTTGAGATCTGTTCAGCTAAGGCACTGACCATGTGTATCTGTGATGGAGAGAGAGAGGTGCGAATTACTGGGACAGTTAAGTTCCTCAGTACAACCTTGATTATCATATGAAAGGTTATATTCAATTGTGCATAAGAAGGGAACCACGCTTCCGCTGGGTTATTCGTTGTGCACAACGAAGTTTAGGACCCGAGTACAACATAAACTTTCATATAAGGACACGTGATTACACATCAAAATCACGCATCGACACATCTCTCAAAGTAGTACACACCTCTTTTCGTACAAAGCTTCGATGAAGCTATCAAGTATAGTTCCCTCGTCTTGTTCCTCTTCAACTTCTTGTACTCCACCGAAATCCGTTGAGGATATAGTGGATGTTGTACTGAGGGTATCCTCATCGGTATCGTCCCCCCTAATACTCCTACGCTGGTTCTTAGCTGTTTAAAGTTCAGACAACTCGCAACTTAGTCCTTTCCTTCTGTGCTAATTTGAAAATGTGGTGTGCGTGATCGGACTATGCAAAGAAGGGTATATCGGCAAACCGCAATTCGCTATGATTGTGGACAGTTGCCAACTTAGAGATCGAAACTCGCAGAGTTACTTCACACGATAAACCAGACAGCTTCAAAAATTTGTGCGTACCCGAGAGGAACAATAGAGTCAGAATAAAATGGACGATCACACAGGCAGTCCAGACTGAGTAGATTTTCAGGCTTCAGTGCTTTGATAGCTTTCACACGCAAAAGAACTAATCAAAACAAGCACTCCTTACCTGCTTCACCGTCAATTTCAAGGACAGTACAAGGAAGTTGTTAAGTATGTACGAAAGGTGAGGAACAAGTTACAGTCCCATTCCAACGACAATGCTTGATCCCAAAAAAAGTGAATGCTTTACACGACGGGGTCCCTCAATCTGCACCGAGAAAACACTAAGAATTTCTGACATACAACATCTCCTACCGACAAACGCATCGAAAGATCTGTAGACATGTCAAATGTTTCTCGCCTACTTGTACAAACCATTCAGGCCCATCCAGACACAATCAGGTTCAGAAGTATCAACAGGTCTAAACACATTCTGTACAGGCAAAAAGGAAAAGGAGAACAAAATACACCAAAGGAGTTTCAGACAGCGTGAGAGACGTGAGAGAAAGCAGACCAAACACCAAAATCCAGAGCTAGCTAGACAAGAATCGCAAATTTGAAACCCTAAAATGTACGCAGCTCGGTTAATCTGCACAATTCTCAATTCAAATTGAAAACCAAGAGACGCGACCTAGTCATTAAAATTTAATTAAATTGTGAAGGCTGCTGCGCCCAGAGCCACAAAGGCAAGCACATCAGGTTTTCAAAGTACGGCTCGAAGGCTAATTCTCAATTCAAGATGTGCAGAATCCAACTCCACTATCCAGCTCTGCGAAAAAAGACACCCAAGAAAGTACAGAAAAGCAGCGAAGACAAACACAAACACAAAGAAGGCATTTGTAGCTTACATTTACCCATTGCGCTTCCTTCCCGGCCGCCCTGCGGCCGCTAAATTTCTAAAAAATCAGCAGCACGGGCACAAAAATGGCGAATTGTATTATGTACAAGGTCCTCTCTCCCGTGCATACTCCTCGTCTCCTACCCCCCTACTAAACCCCCTGAAAACTACACCAATCTGTACATGGTTTCCTAAGCTGATCAATTCCGTAGCCCTGCTTGCTGCCATGCTTCGAAGTTTCGGTACCAAAGGGCCTAGAAGAGAATTACGTTCAGAACATCGACAAGCTCGACGGTCGCTCTAAGGCAAGAAGACGCTGCGACGCACGAGAACGAGAACGAGAGACGAATGGTGAGATGAATGGACGAAGGTGCACAGACTCATTCTCATAGCAGTCTCTCCGACTTCCCGAATAAGCCACGGGAACCGAAAACATTATTTTAAGAATTATTAATATCCTTATTTCTCCTGCGAAATTCGGTCCGAATCGGCCCCGGAATCTCCCACAGATTCGTCCGATCCTCGAGCGCAGCCCGTCCAGATGCGCATCGACGGCAGGAGGCGAGGACCGGGCTTCTCTTGGCACACAGAGAGCATGCCGGCGATCCTGCAGGCACTGCCGTCGAGATCTGCATCGACGACGGTGGGAGCATATCCGGAGGTTATGTCTCAACCGGAGTCTGGCCAGAGGAGAGCTTGTGGCAGTCCTGCAAGCAAGGTGCCACGTTCGCTCGCCACGTGGTGACGCGGCCGGGTCAAGACCAAATTGTCCCTTCCCGAGATTCGTTGATTCCTGCCTTTTGTCCCGACGTGTCGTTTCTCGATAGCACGAGGACATTGTGCAGTTGAGGCCAAGGGTGCGATTCTGGACCACAATTGGCCTTCGCGTGCACCCTACTTTAACCAACTCGACATACACGTTTAACGGGTGGTGTGAAGTTAGTTCTAACCACGGTTGCCGTGACTAATTCGGCAGTCTAATTCGTGGGTTTCGTATTTCTTGGGCTTTTCTGTACCCCGGTGGTCCTCGACGGCATGCCAGATCTTCGTTTCAATATCGAGCCGCAGTCTGGAGCTCGGAGATTCTGCGAGAAGCGTGGATGCTACGGAGATCGCGAGTAGATTTTGATTGAGTGTGCACATAATGTACGCTGTTCGGTGGACTTTGTCAGAATCCCATCCAGTCTAATATAACGATCACTTGATGGATTTTGTTACCATTTGTGCCCTTGACATTCGACGCTTCGGTTATTTAAGTGTTCTATGTGCCGTGCTGAGTTTCTTGGGTGTCGATGCTTAGGAATGTACAGCTTCCTTAACAAATGTCTATACTTAGCAAGACAAACATCAGTAAAGATAGCGAGTGTGTATATGGAGTATCTTGTAAGGTGCGTATGCGTATACTTATCGTCTTCGGGCATGATGGGCACCTCTCCAACAATCGCAGCAGTGTTTTGTGCTTGTGTCTTGACAGCACGGAGTAGCGTGAAAATCGTAATCTCGTTGATGACGAGACGAAGATGAATCCGTCTTGAAGGAGCAACACGGTCGACATCTTTTCGCGTTTCTCAATATTCTTATTCTAATCTTTAGACAACAATATCCTGATTCTTATTTGAGATCCTGGCGACATGTGGACGCAACATAAATCTTAGAAGAGCCAGTTAAGCATACGAAAATTTCTGTTTTTGGTACGCAACTTGAGCTGGCTCCCTAGTTCAAGTTGAACTAGGGAGCCAGCTCAAGTTGCGATCCCAAGTTGATTACCAATAACATGTGACGAGTTGCGCTCAACGGAGTGAATTATCCTCAACTCTTATTGCTTATGTCGTACATAAAGATCAGAACAATCAGATATGAACGCAATTGCAAGGCCTAAGCAACGAAGAGGATTGTAACGAGATCATGCACGAACAAAATGAATATTTCCTGCAAATGAACTCCGATATCCTGTGTATGTATATCACATACGTGCCACGTAAATGAGGATCGATGAATATATTTGTGCCTTGATATTGAAGAAGTCAGGCAATGAAAAAATTGCAGAATCCTTCTCCTCATACTTCTGGTATTCGACAGGATGTCAATGAAGAGAATTGCACCATGTCCAAACCTTGTAAAGTACATTATATAAGACCAATTCATGAAGTGAAGTGTCCCAAAGGACACTTCACGCTCAAGGCATCATTGACTTCTTACCGACATCAAACTCGTCGGATCAAGGTGACAAAGGGCAAACTGCTTATGGGAAGAGGTGCCCTTGGAGGAAGGTGTCGTATGGGCTCTGTATGGGTTGATAATCAACCCAAACCAGACAAGATGTGAACATTACTTTATCTGCGACCCATTGCCACATGAATCACCTCATTGCCAAGTATATAGAAGTGTTTGACTGTGTCCAAATATATATATACCTGAATTTGTATTGCATAGCTTAACAGTTGGACTGCGAAAATCAACATTTTATTTTCTCGAAGTTACTCATTTCGTCGCACCTTCCTTTCTAGGGAAACGGAGAATTATACCAAATACTATATTTTAATAGAGATTTCAACTCAAATACAAGATTTTCTTATGAAAATTCATTTTTTCAAAAAAATTGTTTATTTGTTATATTGAGTATCAATGACACATGATTTTAAAAATTTTCAGTGATTTTCACGTTTTCAAGTAAAAATATTGCTCAAGAATTAGACACTTACTCTGCACTACTATGATAATGGATATGTATCGTCAATCCCCCAACCCCATACTGATAAGCAAATGCGAGGAGCTTCAAGGGTGTTTAATAGATTCCACAACCATGGGTTTCGCCGAAGTCAACGATGAGGTTAGTTATATCAACTATACTTCATTCGTAACGTGCAAATTGTGTACACGACGTGTACAACTTACGTAAGTTAACGCGACACATATCGCACCACAAGCCTCTCCTACGAAGTGCTGCTTTTCGCGAAGCGACGTTCCTCGGGGACCTTGTTGCTTTTTAATTATATCCTCATCTTATAAGAGACGGACCGAAGATCTCGCCAGTTGGTTTCGAACCAATCACAAATGAAAAGGACCATCCAATCAGAACCTGGACCAAAGGTTCTTGTGCAAATTGATGATATACATGATGATGTGTTCAACATTCATCTTACATCTTTTGGAACTGTAAATACCAGACACACCTAATATAATATATTCTGCATGCCAGTAGACATTCGAGAAACCCTCCATGTCGCTTTCTCGACGTAACGAGTGGACATTAAGCTCCATCAAATGATTGCACTTGTGGGGTCTCAATACATGACACTAGATAGGAGAAAGTTCCTACAAGTACTCGTTTCTGAAACCAACTTCCCCCCACTCTTCGTTCCACCTCTTGATCATCCGCTAAGATGATATTCATTTCTGGCATTTCCATTCTGGGTTTATTGAAATGTGAGATTTTTTTCTCTAACATCACCTTGTTCGAAATTTGTACATTTAACTTGCTAAACGACAGGCTATTCACACGAACCATTTCAGGTGGTAGCTAGCTTTCAAAAATATCCAGTTTTTGGTGTTTGAATAATCTTAACAAATACTGTTCTTAATCTTACAGCTTTTGATGACATTTTATATACTTCACAACTTGTTACGTCAAATTTGATAATGAGATGAAGTATATCATCTCCTGAAATGTGATATTGGACAGACAGAAATTCTAATGTGTAAAGTGTGGAACTTATTGAGTACGTTTACCTCGTGTAGAAAAGGGTTGTTGTTGTTGTTGTTGTTGAAAAAAACTGAAGATACATTTTATTCGAGTAACAAAGAAGAAACACTTCCACCATAGTGACAAATAGTGAAAAATAGTAGAAAATGCAGTGTGAAATAGGAAGGAATACTTCATGGCTGATTAGACAAGGCGGATCATTGTTTTGCATGGTAAACCTGGGAAGATAGTTTGATCGCGACTAGCAAGTGATGAGTTCCTGAGAGGAGTGCTTGTGGAGCCCTATCTACCATGTGTCATTGATTTGTTTACCCCACAAAGGCCCCAACTTTTGTACGAAGTAACATGTGTCACTATACAGTATTGCTAGTCAACAAGGTCAAAACATGACACGTACATGTCAGATTTTAACTTGATCAAAACTTCGTGTTTGTCCACAATTTCGCTTTTACGGTTTAAATAAAATAACTAGTGACAATTTCTTCTCAAGCCCGTATAGCTGGGTCTATAACATAGAGACGCGAAGCCCGAGGGTAACACGTCAAAACCAAAAGTGAAAATAGATGGTTGGTAGAGAGGAACGTATTGAGAGAGGAGACTGTAGTGCAACAGCGCTTAAGGAGCACGACTGCAGGAGATGGAAATGAGTATAATAATTTAATATTTTATCTTAATCTGTTGTTGGATATTAAGACTTCTTGGCATGCTAAACTTACAGATCGTATATTTCCAATAAGGATGGAATTAGTTTGAAATCGCACAATGATTCCATTTTTCCATCATAACATCACAATCGGATGGTTGGTTTGCAATTTTTCTTTCAGGTCTCAAATCACCCCAAATCTTCCCAGGAAAACGTGTAGATTTTGTGCAAGACTATTTTACAACAAACAGCTTTGGCCACCATATAATATCCTTTCCATATGCTCAAAACACAATACTTCAAGATGGACGCCGTTAAGAAAAAGTTCAAACATGTAAAGCTACCACAAGGATAATTAATGGAACAAGAAACACACTGCAGTGGGGCAAGGAAATCTACACCCGATAGAAAAGCAACCCGTTTAATAAAATCTCATACGGAAGGTGCACCGATGAAGACGAAGAAGTGGGGTAGCGAATAGCAGATTATTGTATGAGGCTGACTTTAGTTTAACTTTTTACATTTATATTTCATTTTAATTTATCACATGTACAACATATCTTTATCAAAGATGGAGACTGCATGTGCAAATATTTTTTTTTATATTTGTGTTAGATCTATAAATATGAAATGAAATATTTCATAATATTCCAGGTTGGGATGATTTCTCTTTAATATGGCGTATGGATCGTTGTTCTACATTCTGCAATCTCTAACTTTTTCTATGTTTTCTTTTATATCACAACGTCTAATCGTTTCTACCTTGGTCATACAAGGACATATCTGTTCATTTACTCCAAGTCAAAGGAGAAAGTTGTGAGTGTTCTCGTATGTTTGAGTTGTGATGGTTAGCAATTCATTACATGAGATGTGGTTTTGTAAACGTGAATAAATATAAGATGGAGTTACTGATAAATAAACTTTCATTTCTCAAATCAAACTTACTGTCTATACTTGCTGTCAAACAATGCAAACTTAAGCTTACGTCTGATGTCAAGTCAGAGGTACGGTAAGCTTCAGAATTTTCCCGGAATCTTTTGTTCAGGAG